TAATAATAGGTTTATTCACTGCATACTGTTGGAAAAATAATAAATAAAAATAGTTCAGAATACGAAAGCAGCAGAATAACCAAAACGGGAATTAGTCCACCCTAACGAGTAGACTATGACTCGGGGATAGAAAGGAAGTCAGAGCAAACGGGAAGGAATGGATTCGAAAAAAAGGCAGAGTTAGGGAGATCATTAAGTTTAACCCGTAGCGCATCCGTAGAGACGTTAAAATTTATTCTAGAGGTAAGTTTATTCCATAATGGAATAGTTTTGGAAAAATCTTTAGAGAACTGACCGGAAGTGCGAAGTCGAAGTGGATTCCTCTGTAAAGGAGAAATAGTGAAGAAGTCATTGCGATTGAGAAAGTGGTCAGAGCCGCAAATTATTTTATGAAGAGAAATAATGTCGTTAATACAACGACGTACAAAGAGAGGTTTAAAGCCAAATTGGCTGAGACGATCAGAATAAGAACTGAAGCGAACATTGCATCTTATAAAAAAACTTTTTCTACTGAATTGGCGTAGAGAAGACTCGAGTTTGAAGCATTCCTCAGACGAGATAGAGGGAGAAAAAGATTTCACTACAATATTCGAGAATAGGCGTCACGTAGGTTTGAAACATTCTGAGGTAGTGCAGGGGGAAGAAAAACTTAAAGGTATTTAGTATTTGATTAGACCGTAATGTAGCAAAGGCAGAGATACGGGAAATATGGTCTTTGAAGGAGAGCTTCTCATCAATTTGAAGGCCTAGATCACGAACAATTGATCTTTGTGGGATTTGAAATTGATCAAGAAAAATAGACCGTTTGAGGATTGTTAGAGCCAAAGTGATGAGAAAAAAAGTCTTTTTCAACAGCAAGTGGAAGAGACCAAAGTTCTGACCATTGGAAAAAATACCATTTATGCTTCTTTGAAGCGAATCAGGGCAAGAGCTATAAACCTTGAGGTCATCAGCAAAGATAGAGATCGAGGATTGAGGATCAATAAAATTTTCAATATCATTGATGAAAACGAGAAAGAGAAGGGGGCCGCTGACCGTCCCTTGAAGTACACCCGAAGGATTAGAAAAAGAATTGTTAGAAAACGAGTTGTTAACTTTTACAATGGAGGAACGGTTAGATAAAAAATTGGAGAACCAGCGACAGAGAGTATCATTAAAGCCGAAATTGGACATCTTTAGGCGTAAAAGGTTATGATCTACTTTATCGAAGGCTTTGGAAAAATCGAAATAAACAGCATCGATAGGAAGATTAGATGCCAAGGATTTTTTTGAATGGAGGAAAGGGAGCTGATTAGAGAAAGTTTGCATGACCTACGATTGAGAAAAGCCGAATTGGAATTGAGAGAACTTTTTCAGAAAAAAACGAGATCTTATCATTTGAGTAATGATGCGTTCAAATACACGAGAAATTGGATGAGTGAGAGATATGGGGCGAAAGTTATTTGGATCAGAAAGACTACCTTTTTTATGCACAGGAATAACTATAGTAGACTTAAATAATGAAGGAGTGATACCGGTTAGATAAGATTCCTGGAAAAATAATAGAAAGTGGAAGAGAAATAGAAACAGAGCACTTTTTTTAGGACAAAAATAGTTGATATTATCAGAAGAATAACCGCATTTAGGTGGAAGATTAGAAAGAGTTTTTAAAAAAATCGTTTCAGGTGTGAAGTTGATAGAACAATCGGTAGGACGAGGTGAGGGTAAAACAGGAAATGTTGGGTGAATCAAATGTGAAAAGTTAGAGGAGAAAAACAGATGAGAAGAGATCGGCTTTAGATACATCTTCCGTGACAAAGTTATCATTATAATATAAGTTAGGGATGCCAGAGTCAGTTTTTGAGCGATCGAGATATGAATTTAGAGAGTTTGGAGCAGTTGAAAGTATTAGAAATTTTAATATGTTGTTTGCGAAGAATCAAAGCTGCACGTTTTCGGATTTTTTTAACAATCATATTGAAAGAACTGCGAGTAGCATGGGAAAAAAAGACCAAGTCTAATTAAAAGAGATCTTCTACGTAACAGTCTACGAATCCTACGATCGGAATTAAAAAGGGTTGCGGTTAAGGAGAGGAAAAAGGGAAAAAAAGGGCAGTTATCAGCGATTAATTCGTTAAATATTGTGAGAAAAATGCTTTAATTTGGAATCAATAGTAGAAAAATAACTGAATTGCCTGTCCCAATTAAGTGAAGAAATGGTTCGATTGATAATATTAAAATTGCATTTCTTGAAGTTGAGACGTTTGGAAAAGGTAGTGGCAGGACTGACATAGGCCGATTCGAGATTGAAAAACACAGAATTATGGTCAGAACCAAGAAGAGGCTCAATAACGTTCAGATTAGTGATAATGTTATGAGAATTGGAGAGTACAAGATCTAAAATATTTGAAGAATGGACTGTGGATCGAGTGGGAGACCGAACAAATTGACGGAAATCATAACTTAGGCAGAAGTTAGTAATTTGACAGGAGTTATTGGAGGAGCCAAAATTAATCCAATCAACGTTCGGAAAGTTGAAATCACCTAGGATAATACAATTAGAAGGAGTGATGAGACGTGATAGATGATCAAATAAATTAGAAGAATGGGAGGAAGTACAAGAAGGAGGCCTATAAACAACAAAGAGACGAAATTTTTGAGTATTGGAGAGAACCAAATCAATACAAAGAAGATCGCAGAAATGGGTATTATAAAACCTTTCCTGTAGAGAATCCACTTCAACGACAGGTAAGCACTTCCGGAAAAATATGATGACGCCTCCACCGGAGCTCCTACCAGATGAGCTTAAACGATCTCGCCGAATAAAACTGTAAGTTGAATTGTTAAATAAAGAATCAGGGAAATCAGCAGAAAGAAAAGTCTCACAGAAAAAACCGACATCGATGGAGTTAGAAGAGAGATATTATGGAGTTAGAAGAGAGATATTATTTAAGAAAAGACATCTCCAAGTCATAGAAAATCGTTAAAAAGGGGCTTTGAACCCTTATTTCTCGGAAATTAAAAGGTTATGCTGGTTGAGACTTCCAGGATCTTTTTTTGAAACGTTAAGGAGTGTTCTGGCCAGATTCCAAAAGAAAAAAAAAATGCTAGGAAAAGAGTTGAATTTGATTAAAAGACCAGTGTGAATTACGTTACACTCTACCTAAATATAATTCACAAGGAAGGTCATTTCACTCCACAATGCATCAACGCTCTAAAAATTTACTTTCTGAAGTCCCAGATGAAGGTTCTGAAAGTCTCAACCCGCACAATTTTGTAGTTTTTGAAAAAAAAGCCGTTGAAATAGGTCAATTTTGAGCTTTGAGCCCTAATTTATCGAAAACTGAAACATTTTTGAAGGTTGAGACTTTCAGGATTTTCTTTTGGTACATCAAAGAGTGTTCTGGCCTAGTTCGAAGAAGTTCCCAACAACAAAGTAAAATGATCATCCTTGTAAAAGCGAAAAGTCGACATTATTCGGCTAACTGTAGAAATCACTAAATTATCAATTATTGTCAGTTGATTTTAAAATATCACTGAGAAAGAACTAATACAGTATTTTCCAAAGGTACTGTGACCGCAAGATCACGACAGTCATTCCCTCAAATTTGTGAAAATCCTCGATTTTCAATTCACTTTCACGGCTTGACTTTTCCTGGAAGAAAATTTCGGGTTGACGAAACTTTTGTTGTGATGTTCTTCAGGGCTTTCTGATTGAAAAAACCGAGAATTTCGCTTTATTTTCAACCCTTTGGTTGTGTCACGGGGGGATGGAACTTGTGGCCCTTAAGACCGTAGACAAGCCTTAAAAACAGACTAAAGTACTGACTTTAATTCAGGAAAACGGTGATGAGGGTCTTCGAGAAATCTCAGTTCATTTATCCTTTTTAGCCATCTTTGTTCAATAATATTCAGCCTCTATTTGATAGAAATTTTGTCGGCTAAAGGTTGAGACCGCAAAGCCACGCCCCTTTTCGCGATGGTGAAATGCACTGTTTTTTCAGATTTTGTGTTCGTTGTTTTCGTACAAACGCAATAATGACCAGGGAACGTTTTTTACCCCCCGGTTAAACTTTTGCTGAAACTTTGCTGAATCGTACTTTAGGACCCCCTGATTGCAGATCAAGAAAAAAGTTTCTCGCAATAGATCTTGTCTCCGAGTTATCGAGCTTCGAAGTGTGCAAAATACGCTAATTAGGCCAAAAAATCGCTATTTTGGCTATTTGAAGTGTCCTAACTCGAAAACGAGATCTATTGCGAGAAATTGTCTTTTTGTTCTGGAATCAGGGGGTCCTTAAGTACACTTCAGCAAAGTATCGGCAAAAGTTCAACCGGGGTGAAAAACGTTCCCTAGTGAACCAAAAACGGAGAAAATTGGGATAAACATGCCTAAATGTCTGAGCTTGCAGCCGGCGTGAGGTCGTCGCCCCAGCCGGACCGACCTCCGATCTCCTCGCGGGTCCGTGGCGAGAAGCTCGTCCACCACTACATGCAAGCCTCTCCCGACTCGACTATTCCTGGGTTTGATCTTTTTTTTTTTGAATCGACGGATAAATGAACGCGGCTACACTGGGCGATGAAGAATGTCATGCATCGTTGTTGATTTTTTGTGGAAAATATGCCTTATTTCTAGCGGAATTTTTCTTGGAAAGAAATTATTTTGAGGCGGCTACGATGAAGAACTTCTTGCGTGATTTTTATATTTTGATGAAACAATTTTTTCTGCCTCGTATTTAATGGAATGATAATTAATTCCGAGCAATATGAAGTTGAAATTCAGGAGTTTTTTTTTCGTATTCAGCAGGACTACTGACAGCCATGACCAAACTCATGAAGAATTTTTTTTTCTGAGGAGATAAATTCAAAAATTCAGCCTCCAAACTAGTGAAGTTTCTTATATTAATTTTTAAGTGAAGTGACGCTTTGAAAAAAAGCTCTCATTCCATTTTTTTGGACTCGATAGGTTTCCCGACGACATGCCATTAAGGACGTTGTAAAAAAACTTCTACTTTTGAAAAAAATATTTTTTTAAATTGAAAAATCTACCTTTAATCTAGGGAAAAATTCCTATTTCTCATATTAACTTTAAGTCAAATGAAGCTAAAAAAATTTCTATTCGACTTTTTGGACTCGGCAGGTTAACCAATGCGACCATGCCATTGAAGATGTTGGGATAAATCCTTAAATTCTGGACTTGAAAAATGAAAAAAATCTATCTTAAAAACTACTCAAAAAGCTTTCATTTCCCATACAAATTCTGAGCGAAACGAAACTAAAAATAGTTCTGTTTCGATGGAACCGAGAAGAAAAAACTATTAATCTCGTTAAAAGGCCACTGAAGCTTACCCATTGTGGAGTATTTTTCAAAAAAAGAAAAGTTATGACTCGGGTGAGCTTTGATTTCTGATTTTTGTTACATTGTAGTGCTATCTTGGATTTTTCTGGAGTTTTAATTGATATAGATGAAATTAGATTTCACTTTGAAGGAGAGTAGTTGGCTATAGTTTAGCGTAAGGAAAGGGCTTTCAAGGTAGGAAATTTCATCTTTGAGATATTTTTTTCGATTGCAGAAACTAGTGAAATAGATTGATTGATTGAAGAAAAGACGTAGATTGTCATGGAAAAATAAAAAAACTTGAAAAAAATAATCGAAAAAAAGTTTTGAAAGCTCCAAATAGCGATAGAATCAAGTGAATAAGTCCAGGAAAAGTACTTGCTCCAGTTGATTTTTCAAAGTTTTCATGATTTTGAGCAAATTTGACATTCGACAACCTGTGAAAAGCCTAATTTTGACAGAAAAGATCTTACTTTCCTCATAAGGAAAAAAACCTTCAAAAAATAAACTCCAGTAAATTTATCGAAGTTTTTTTGAAAATTAAACGATCTTCGGGCTTTTTTGACTTTTATAAACCCGTCAAAAGCTAAATTTTGAAGGAGAAATTTCTATTTTTCTCAAAAAAAAGTTTAAGAGGCGACTACGATGCTTATTTTCGACGAATGAAAGAAAATTTTCGAAAAAAAATTAACATCAGTTGATTTTTCGAATTTTTCATGAAAAATCCTTTATTTTTGAGCATATTTGACGCGAGAAAGCTTGAAAAAAAGCTAAATTTCGACTGGAAAGATTCTATTTTTCAAAAAAAGTTCTCGAGTTGAGTCACAATAAAAAACCCCCAAGTTTAGTTCATTTTCCAAAAATTTTCATCGAAAAATTTCGTTTTATGAAGCAAGTAAAACATAAGGAAATCTATCAAAAAGCTGCGTTTTCACAGAAAAACTTTATTATCTCAAAAAGGTCTAGAGTTGACTACAGTACTTATTTTTGGCGAATAAAAAACGCAAAAAAAAATCCAGTTGATTTTTCGAAGCTTTTCTGGGAAAGTTTATGATTAGTTCAATCAAGTTCAAAATGCGAAAACATGCCAAAAGCTAAATTTTGAGAGAAAAAAAAACTTTCTAGGTTGGACTGCTCATTTTTGACAGATAAGATGAAAAAGCGGAATAAAAATCAAGAAATTGCTCAGTTTTTTTTTCCTATTTTTGAACCTCCTACCTCATATCCTCTCTTTACACTTTACTCTACATAAAATCCACATGAAATCTCTTTTTTTTCTACATTTTACTGACGTCTTTCCTGACCATTGTAACATCCAATTATTATTTCCCCATTATAGGCTCCAAAATAACATTTTGTTATGTGGTGATATGATATTGATGAGTTTTGCGATGTGGTTTCCGGCGCCAGAGTCGCCCTTTTTACTCATTTTCAGCCCCTCTTTTTTTCGCGGCCACTCGAATGGGCGGATTAGCGCCCGGAGCGTCACCGCGCATATCTATATCATATCATATCATTTGGCTTCTTTTCCTCTCTTGATTTACTGGTTTTAGTAAATTTTTGTCTATTGCTTTATGGAGGTTCCAATTTTTTGTTATCAGTTCAAAAAAAGGACTTTAGTTTTTAGAAAATCTAATTCTCAAGTTGTCACATTCTCTAATAAGAACCTTATCTATATGAGATCGTCTGACTTCTTCTTCTCTATTATTTTATGTTTTATGGGATTCTTGACTAACTTTGAAGTGTTTTTGAGGTGTCTGTTCATCTGCATTACGTTAGAAATCAGAAAATCCGGTTTTGAACTATCCCTTTCTTTAATTTTTTTTTTAAACTTTTTATAATCCGTCGAATTTTGCAGTGAGAGTTCCAATTTCAAAAAAAGATCAAATTTTGAGAAAAAAAGAAATTGATATTAATCCAGTCTATTAGAAATATTCGAAGGAAGGATCACGAATATTGAATTTTTTTGAATTTTCACTTTTTTTCTTTTGAATCGAAGCCGTATTTGAGCGAAATTTTTCAAAAATATCATTATTTTTTTTGATAGAAAGAGCTCAATTTTAAAAATTTGAATTTTTTTCACAGCTCTCTCATGTCAATTTTGAACTTTTTAATGTTCCAAAGAGCATTTTTGGCTCTTATTTTTGAGCCACTTTTTCAGACGATTTCGTCGAAAAACCAGAGGGAAATAATCCCAGAAGGAGGCCTCCCCCGCCGGCTTTTCATATTTTCTAATTTTGAAAATGGAAATTTCGCGACGGACTTTAGACCCGTGCATTAGTGCGTATTACGTGTAAGACGACTTTGAAAGGAAATTTTTTTTTCGACAAAAAGGAAAGAATTTTTTTCCTTTTTCAAACTTTTTGGTTCGATTTCGTAGGTGCTTTTTTTATTATAATCAGTAATATCCGAGTTCGAAAAAAAGTCGTTTTCTTCGGAATTTCGTGACTCTAATTGTAGGTTTTTTTGCGTCTACGACTTTTTTTGTCGATTTTCGAAGAAAGTGTGTCATTTCATCCATTTTTTTAGTGAATTTGAGAATTTTCAGGTTACGGTGATTTTTTTACTGTAAAAATATTTTTTTTCAATCCTTTTTTTACTCTGCAAAACCTCCGTTAATTTCTAAAAAAATAAAGACGTCTAGTAGACTTTCCGTCGTATTGAAACTTGATCAAAGAACTGGTTACTGTAACTATTTTTTTTATTGTGTAAAGGCTAATTTTGAGAGCAATGTGCGCTCTATCGCACTCTTTCGAGATCTTTTTTTGGACCCTGGTTACCCAAATCGGACGTTTCAGAGCGGGGATCACTGTAGACTCCACTTGAGTGTAACTTTTTTTTTACTGTGAAAAAGACTAATTTTGAGAACAATGTGCGCTCTATCGCACTCTTTCGAACTTTCTTTTTTTCGGACCCTGGTAACGTCGAACGTTCCGGAGCCATTCCAGGGACTGCTTAAGAATTTTGACTCCACTAAAGTGGTCACTAGAAAATCTCAGAAACGTCCGGAGCGTGTTCGGTTTGATTCACTGATAATGAAATAATCATTATCGGAATTTTCTTGGCCTCTTCTAGGGTAGCTTCACTTTTGGTTACACGGCTGTTTTAAAGAGCAAAACGCGCTCTATCGCACTTTTTTTGAATTTTAAAGAATTTCTCTTTTTCGCCTCACACATGCGTAATTTTGATTCGAAAATCTTTTTCTATTTTACGGTAGCCTAACTTTTCCTGTACAGAAGGCTATTTTCGAGAAGAATATGCGCTCTACCGCACTCTTCAAAGTTCTGATGTCTCTTCTTTTTCGGCTCTTAACATAGTGATAGATAGGGACGAGGCCGTCACACAAGCCTAATTATTATCGGAATCTCTCTCTTTCTCTTCGGAGCAGAGGTTATAATCGCGCACATTACCCTTTTGCGAGAGTGAGAGAAGGGTGCATTGGAGCACACAATCGAAAGCAAAAAAAAAAGACGACGGGGACGAAAAAAGGAAAGTATTGAAATGGAATCAGCCGGGCGGCTAACGTCGTTTCTCCCTTGTCAGCTTATCCGCCGCCCGTCTCGCCTCCTAATCTCTTTCTATCGTTTTACCCGACTCTTGACTTTTACTTTCGATCCGGCCTTGTTGAGAAGTTTGTACTAGTTTAGCAAGTCGAGTTTGGTTTCAAAGAACGAAAAATTGTAGAAGCTCTGGAAAAGTTTTGAATCATGCGACATTTTGGAACTTTAGATTTTTCGAATTTTTTTCATTATCTGATAGTACGATCGAATCTATTGTTCTAGCTGTTTTTTAAATTTAATTTTCGATCCGACCTAGTTGAGGAGTTTGTACTAGATTATCGGGTCGAGTTTGATTTCAGAGTATAAAACCGAAAAAGTTGTAAAAGTTCTGGAAAATACCTGTATTTTTCGACATCTACAAATTTTGGTCCGGAAATTAGAGATTTTCAAATTTTTTCATGTACAAGGGTACAATCGAATCTATTGTTCTACCCAATTTTTGATTCTTACTTTCGATCCGACCTAGTTGAGAAGTTTGTACTAGTTTATCGGGTCGAGTTTGATTTCAGAGAAAAAAACCGAAAAAGTTGTAGAAGTTCTGGAAAATACCTGTCTTTTTCGACATCTACAAATTTTGGTCCGGAATTTTAGTACAATCGGTTCTATCATTCTATCCGATTTTTTAATTTTAA